TTGGTGTTGAAGCCCCTGTGACACCACGCCATTCTCCCACAACACGTACTCATGCAGTTGAAAGTGATGATGATCATGAAGCCAAGCGTGCAAGGGTTGAAGCAGCCAAGAGACAACGCTTGGACAGAATCAGTTCTGAATACAGCTCAATGATTCGAACAGTCAAAATTTCCAATGAGACATACCACACCATGGATGACTACGACAGTGAACTACGTCTTGATGACCATGAAGTTGAAGATGGTTGGAAAGAAGATGATACAGGAGAAGTTTCTTTGGGTGAAATTCCAAAAGAACTATGGTCAGACTGCCCCGTTGACAGGCAACCAGAAGAGCCTGAACCATGGGTTGATAGGTTGGCTGACATGGTAGAACTTGGTAGGTTATGTGGAATGAACGTGCTTGAGGAGGTAACTGCAGAACAGCTCACTCAGGAGGAGCACCTTACAACAAAGTTCGTCTATGACTGGCGGGTCAAAGACTTCTTTTTCCAAGATGGGACTTCATGCAAGAAATGGTTGCGGTGATCACGCCTTGTTGCACGAGAGTTTTCATTCTTGGAGCGACGCAGTGACACCTACTCACCCGCTACAAGCACACATATCCTGAACATACTGCCTATGATCTACTTGCAAAAGTTGGGTGATGCAACTTCAACTGAACAGCAAACTGGAAAGCACCCTGTGGTTTTGGGGACGGTGGACATCAAGGACGCATTTCTCATGGTTGATCAAGAGAAACCAATGGCTGTCAGCTTACACAACAAGCTGTACCGAGTGAAGAAGAACGTACCAGGTCAACGCCTAGGAGCAAAGATGTGGTACTGGAGTTTTAGGGATTTTCTCAACAAGCACTTGGACATGCATTGGTGTATTGAGCAACCATGCATGGCAAAGAACAGTCATTGCTGCGTGATGGTTCATGTTGACGATGTCATGTTTTGTGGTGATGGTTGGTATTGGGAAAATGTTTTTCTGAAGAAGCTCAAGGAGCACTACAACATAAGCCATTCACAGTTGCAGGGCATTGGAAGCGAGATCAGTTTCCTGAAACGCAGAATCAAAACGTTGGAAGATGGACTGGCTCTCATTCCAGGTACAAAAGCCTCAAAGGTGATTGAGTTATTTGAGGAGAACTTTGGAAAAGCCAGACCCCAAACAATTGCCTGTGACGCCTCGATCCAAACAGAGGATGTCAGCGAGGAAGTTGGTCAAAGAGATGCCCATGCTTTTCGAGCTGTGATAGGTACCCTCCTTTACCTTGCAAGAGATCGCCCAGACCTACTTTTTGTTGTCAAGGAGCTCAGCAGTGCAATGAGCCGTCCAACTTTGACAGCAATCTCTAGGCTTCGAAAAGTGATTGGTTATTTGAAAACAACAAGTGACTTTTGCATGGTTTTGGAAAAGCCAATTGGAGGTCAAGGAAAATGGAAGAGCTCTGAGCGATTTTGGATGATTGAAACATTCAGTGATTCAGACTGGAGTGGAAACAAACAACACAGAAGATCGACAAGCTGTGGGGTTCATACATTGAATGGTGGATTTCTTTTTGCAAGCAGCAGAACTCAACGTGTTGTGAGCCTGAGCTCATGTGAGAGTGAGTTGCACTCCATGGTTTCTGCACTTTGCGATGGAATCTACTTGCGTCGTTGCATTGAATTTCTCACTGGCTGTCAGGTTGAACACCACCTATTGGTGGACTCCTCTTCTGCAAGACAAGTTGCCATGCGTCAAGGACCAGGTCGGTTGAAACATGTGTCAGGGAAACTTTTGTGGATTCAGCAAGTTGTGCATGAAGGTAAAGTACAACTGACACAGGTACCAACTTTGTGGAATGTTGCCGATGCTGGGACCAAGCCTTTAGCAAGCAAACGCGTTCAGATGTTACTGCATTGCATTGGAATGGCACGTGCAGAAGGTGGTCAAACCATTGGCCAGGAGGAGTATGAGATGCAATTTTCAAAGTATTCCAGCAGAAAGCAAATCAATGCACTGGCCAAGAACATTGCAAGAGTGATTGTTTTCATGGGCCTTGAGCCTTTGCAAGGAGCAACAGCGATGCCCCTAGGTGAGAGCGACATCTATGAAGCCAACCAATGCAAGATCGAGCCCAATCATGTTCAAAGTGAAGGTTATTCATGGATGTTCATCATGATGTGCAGCGTTTTGGTTTTGGCAGTGTTAGCTTTCTGGGGATGGATTTACAAAAGAGCCAATGACGCCTACACAAGCTTCGATCATGTGTACACGCAATACGCCATCATGTCTTCAGCTGTGACAATTTTGGAAAAGAAAGTTGCGCAGATGGAAACAGATATGAGACGTTTGCGTGAAGGACACACAGAACTCTCTGGCGAGATTGAAATGGTGTCAGACTCTGCTGAGAATACCCAATGGGGGTTGATCAATATGGGAGGTTACACCAATTTCCATGGCCTCACACCATTCCAACGTCAGCAGATGTACACGTTGGAACGCGCAAATTTGATAGCTGCAAGAACAATGGGAATGCAACGTTACTTGAACGTTGTGAGGACCAGAACCAAGGAATTGTCCATGGAGGTGACGATACAGATATGGATGGAGATGTGCGTGAAGCTGGAGAAGAAGAACAACGTGAAAATGATCCAGCTGTCAATCCAGAAGATACACCAGAAATCACACAGGTCACCATGACATTCCGAAATGAGCTGAACGATTGCTTACGCAGAGAGCAATGGAGTGATGCAGCTGTTTTCCAAAGAGGTGTGATGCAAGCTTTGGATTTGGTAAACCAATATCAGCCAGTGCCAGCAGAGCTGAAGCAACAGCTGTTCTATGCACTAGCTGCTGATCTTCAGGTTATGTCTGACCGCCATGCAGTGACCGACGCCAATCTGTCAGAGAGGTATAGACAGTATGTGAACCAACTCAGAGAGATGGCCTATAATGCAACATAGGCCTAAGGAATTTTCCATGCCGGGGAATGATGGCAACTCCCCGTAACCAGAATGCCATCTTTGCCAAAGGCAAACTTTTCATGCCGGGGAATAGTGGCAACTCCCCGTTACCATAATGCCACTAGGACCAATGCAATCCCTAATGGGAATTTCCATGGAAGTTTGTGCGCAGCAGCCGTGCCAAAAGTGAGTGGAAATAGAAGTTGGAAACTCCTTGTTTCCAAGGAGGAGTCCGAAACATTTGGCAGAGTACTCATGTCCATGCATGGCCCCTGCGCAAGGATGACACTTCATGGAATTGCACTTGTAGGATTCTCACATTGGTCATGGACAGTTGATGCAAAATGCATTCACTACTGTAGGCCCTGTGGATCAAGCAAAAAGGTCCGTGCTGCACCTTTCGGTTTCGCAAAATCTCAATCCACCCCAAATCATCAGAAAAAAACCACCAAGCACCAAACGTTCTGTTGGCGTACAACCCGCCTGAAGTAATCTTCGTTCCCACTGAATGACCACATATAGTGGTAATGGAAAGGACTCCATGCGATCCCTTGGCACTTTAGAGTTCCTCCAGGATTGAACCAATGAATGAGATGCGGTGTCGAAAGCATTGACTCCAGCGTGAGTACAAAATAATGTTAAAGCCTTGATGGTCATGTTTGGATCCAGGCCGACAATTTTCCAACTCTTGGAGAACCTAACCTAGGCCAGAGCACGCCAGCGTGGCGTCGACGACTCGTTGTCCCCACTGAAAGAAAAGAGTTTGCGGCAGCAGCACTGTTGATCATGACATATCACCGCCGACAATGGTTCACAGAACATCAGTCTGACATATTACAGCTGTGCGGGAAGCCTTTGAAAAGCAAAACGTCGAGTGCCTCCACCAATGCCATTCCTGTAAGATCCTGTTGGCAGATGCTCTCCGCAAACACGCAAATTCTCTGAAGGACAGTTTTCCAGACGGCTTTGTCAGTCATCACCTTTGCAATTCAGCCTTGCGAGATTCAATACCCCTCCTCAAAGAAAACCGCAAATCCCCCAACAAGGGTTTTTTTGCAAGACACATGTGGCAAACAGTCGCGAAAAACATTTTTTAATCACACTTTAGAGAGGAATTTGGTCAGGCACTCTTGAGAACAATTTTCAAAATGTTTCTGAAATTCAGTTTTTGCAAGACCCTTGTGAAATGCACTAACATCATATGTTTGTAGGGGAGTCAGTCATTCCACACGCAACCAAGTGTCATGTTCATGGCGCATCCCAAAAAGTTATTTTCCCCAAAATTTTAACGTACACTTTTTGGACACAAAATCAATTTTTTTGACGTTTTCCGTAAACATTACCCCGTCTTTTATTTTTTGCGCTATTTTCCCTTCCCTCACGCAACCCTGCTCGTTTTTTTTCTTCTGGTTTGAAATATGCAAAGATGCGTTTTTACTCAATCTAACATTGGGGCAGCGCATGTTTGGTTGGTGGACATGTGCTGTGGAATTCGTGTGTCGTATTCGCTCATTTCACATTTCCATCAAACAATTTTTTCCTTCACTTGACACACATGTTCATGTACGTTAAAAAAATGTTTTCACCAATTCGATTGGTCGCCGGTTTGCGTGGTATTCCAGAACAAATGCGGAATTTTCTAAATGGTGCAAATGTCATGATGCCATGTCAATGTGTCCCAGGGTGGACATTTAGACTAAAAACATATTACTTGTGTCCAGTAATTTGTTTGCATTCAAACTTGGTGTTGTTTCTTGAACGAAAGGATGTGTTTTCAAACTGACGTTTGTATTGGTCCCAATGTCGTTCTTCATTTTGCACAGTGTCCCTCGTACATTCAAATTTGTTTTCTGCCTTGCCGCTGCCAAAAAAAATTGCCCTCTATATGAGTTCGCATAAAACCGGATCTATTTTTCATTTCTTCCAAATTTGGTTGAGGTGCAAATCTTCCAAGATGTTCAGGGTTGGCAGCGATTGAATATAAAAAACAATCATATTTGGGCCGGAAACAAGATAGTACGAATGCAGAAAACAATTTTGCAGTTAATGTACAATTCACCTGGCCATTGCGTGGGGAAAACTTGGCAATGGCGGAGGAAACCAACGGAGCGGACTTGGAAGAGGCTACAAAATTTGACGCATTTACATAGATTTGAGTTCCTCTTGCAAATTAACATTGCAAGGCGCTGTGTCAAATAGTTTGAAACTTGTTTTGACTTTTTGTTCCCACCTGTGAGCTGAAGGAGTATCATGAAGGAGATCTGGAAAAAGCTCTAGAGCAGGAGCCGCGTATCAAAATTGGATTGAAATGCATGTTAGACAATGTTGAATTGTTGATTTCAGTTTGGCCTGAACTTCATTTTCGTATAGGAACCCGAGTTGCTGGAAGAAGAGGACTTCGCATGCATGTTGTTTTTCCAGAAGAGAAATTGTGGTGGAATAACGGTGGAATTGTCATTTTCATGTGCAGGAAATCACAGAGGAAGTGGTTGTGGATGAGGTCGAAACGCTTTTAGCGCCTGATTTCGAAGAGGCTTTGGCCGAACTTGGCAATGGAGACCTCGATGCTCTTCAAGACATCGAGGGAGAAGTCCTGGCAGAACTGGCTGCACCCCTTGAGGAAGAGGCAATTCTGAAACTTTCCATAGATATTCACAGTTTGGAAGGTCCATTGCAGCATCCATACCAAACGCGAGTGTTAGCCTGCAGGCTGACAAGGCCGAAGATGATACCGGTGCTGCAGTTGACATCATTGATGAGGCATGGTGTTATATTATATATTTATATTTTGGGAAGGAAACGGTTTCCAGTGCTGTTGCCAGGAAGAGATCGTTGTGGATGATGCACAAGACGACATTGATTTGCTGCCAGAAGAGGCGGTCATGCAGTTTATGCATGCTATGCTACTGTCAATGCGACTTTATTTGTGCCAGTAAAATCCAATAAACTAGACGACGGATGGCCCGAGAGCGTAGAGGAGCAGAGTCTTCTGTTGTTAGTATGGAGAAACGCTTTTTACACACAGGCTCTTTTACACACAGACGCTTTTACACACAGACGCTTTTACACACAGACGCTTTTTACACGCAGGCGCTTTTACACACAGACGCTTTTACACACAGACGCTTTTTACACACAGGCTTTTACACACAGACGCTTTTACACACAGACGCTTTTACACACAGACGCTTTTTACACACAGGCTCTTTTACACACAGACTTTTACACACAGACGCTTTTACACACAGGACTTTTACACACAGAGCTTTTACACACAGACGCTTTTACACAAAGACGCTTTTTACACACAGACGCTTTTTACACACAGACGCTTTGACACACAAACACATTTACACACACAGGCTTTTACACACAAAGACTTTTACACAAACACTTTTACACACAACACTTTTACTTTTACACACAGACGTTTTTACACACAAACGCTTTGACACACAGACGCTTTTACACACAGGCGCTTTTACACACCGAGGCTTTTACACACAAACGCTTTTACACACAGAAGCTTTTACACACAGAAGCTTTTACACACAGACTCCTTTACACACAGACGCTTTTACACACAGACGCTTTTACACACAGACGCTTTTACACACAGACGCTTTTACACCCAACACTTTCACACACAGAGGCTTTTACACACAGAAGCTTTTACACACAGAGGCTTTTATACACAGAAGCTTTTACACACAGAGGCTTTTACACACAGAAGCTTTTACACACAGGCGCTTTTACACACAGAAGCTTTTACACACAGAGCCTTTTACACACACACATTTACACACAGCGGCTTTTACACACAAGCACCTTTACACAAACACTTTTACACACAAACACTTTTACACACAGACGCTTTTACACACAGGCGCTTTGACACACAAACACTTTGACACACACAGACGCTTTTACACACAGACGCTTTTACACACAGAGACGCTTTTACACACAGAAGCTTTTACACACAGACGCTTTTACACACAGACACTTTTACACACAGACGCTTTTACACACAGACGCTTTTACACACAGACGCTTTCTACACACAGACGCTTTCTACACACAGAAGCTTTTACACACAGACGCTTTTACACACAGACACTTTTACACACAGACGCTTTTACACACAGACGCTTTTACACACAGACGCTTTTTACACACAGGCGCTTTTACAAACAGACAAGTCCGGCACAAGTAAAATCGCAATTTTACCTCAGTTTTTGACGATCGACCTTCATTTCGTGCGAAAGGGTTGCTCCGGCACACGAAAAATCGCAATTTTACCTCAGTTTTTGCCGATCGACCCTCACTTCGTGCGAAAAAGTTGCTCCGGGACACGAAAAATCGCAATTTTTCCTCAGTTTTTGCCGATCGACCCTCATTTCGTGCGAAAGGGTTGCTCCGGCACAAGTCAAATCGCAATTTTACCTCAATTTTTGCCGATCGACCCTCACTTCGTGCGAAAGGGTTGCTCCGGGGCAAGTCAAATCGCTAATTTTACCTCAGTTTTTGCCGATCGACCCTCATTTCGTGCGAAAGGGTTGCTCCGGCACAAGTCAAATCGCAATTTTACCTCAGTTTTTGCCGATCGACCCTCATTTCGTGCGAAAGGGTTGCTCCAGCACAAGTCAAATCCTAATTTTACCTCAGTTTTTGCCGATCGACCCTCATTTCGTGCGAAAAGGTTGCCGTTTCGTGACTCGCCGCCGGTACCACCCTCGGCCTAAAGAGAGAAAGATAAAGAAGGCGAGAGAGAGAAAAAGGAGAGAGAAAGGAGAGAAGATGTGAAGGTGAGAAGATGTGAGAGAAGGTGTGAAGATGAGCAGATGTGAAGATGAGCAGATGTGAGAGAAGATGTGAAGATGAGCAGATGTGAGAGAAGATGTGAGAGAAGATGTGAGAGAAGATGTGAAGATGAGCAGATGTGAGAGAAGATGTGAAGATGAGCAGATGTGAGAGAAGATGTGAAGATGAGCAGATGTGAAGATGAGCAGATGTGAGAGAAGATGTGAGAGAAGATGTGAAGATGAGCAAATGTGAAGATGAGCAAATGTGAAGATGAGCAGATGTGAAGATGAGCAGATGTGAGAGAAGATGTGAGAGAAGATATGAAGAAAGATGAGCAGATGAGAGAAGATGTGAGAGAAGATGTGAGAGAAGATGTGAGAGAAGATGTGAGAGAAGATATGAAGATGAGCAGATGTGAAGATGAGCAGATGTGAAGATGAGCAGATGTGAGAGAAGATGTGAAGATGAGCAGATGTGAAGATGAGCAGATGTGAAGATGAGTAGATGTGAAGATGAGAAGGTGTGAAGATGAGAAGGTGAGATACAGACCCCCACTATTGGAAGAACCCTGCGCTCAGACGCTCTCGGGAAAAATCCGCACAGAAACCTTTAGGCACAGAAACCTCTATGCACAGCCGTTATGACACAGACGCTTTTACACACAGATGCCTTTACACAGAAAAACTTTTACACACAAACTTGTGCACACAGCACGCTTTTACGCACAGCCAGTTTTTTACACGGAAAAACTTTGCTTCCCCTTCCTGACCACCTACCTTTTCGTGTTCCCCCTTCAAGCTTTTTGGTACACTGGACTCTTTGTTTATTCAAAATATTCAGAAACACCGTTCAAACACATGTGGTCAACACCCACGGCAACGCATCAACTCGCAAATTCAAAATTTGGCAGAAACCTTCTTGGAGTGGGGTTCTCAATGGGATGGTAATGTCTGCTTGCAGAGAATACTTTCTCTCTGGCGTACTAAACAGGGCTATTGTATAGCCCGGTCTGTTCCTCCCATCCTCTTTTCTGCACTTTCTCTGCCAACGCGTCCTTCTCCTTCGCGCGCATGCGTAACCCGTGGAAGCCGATCCACTTGTGGAAACCCAAAATGTCCTCAACAACAAACCTCCAAACAAAATTGTTTTGTTCAAATGCCTTAAATCTTTTTGAGTGAAACGAATCTTTGCAACTTCTGATGTTTCTTGGTTTTCCTGAAACCGTCAGAAACTGTTTTTTCCGTCCAACGCCTTCATGGCTTCCGCCAGGTCGTTCAACACGTTCAATTGCATGTTGCAAATTAGGTTTCATTAGTTAATTAGCGCATACACATGGCCGTCTGCTGATTGAGGGGCCTCAAGAGTGAACTGGTAAAGGACTTGAGTGCAGTCCAGTAGGCCGTCACGAAGTCACCATCAAACAAAACAAACAAAAAACCAAACACCAAAACCAAAAGCAAACCCACCAACGCAAAAAAAAAAAGAAACCGTCAGAAACTTTGTCATGTCAAATCTTTCAGCAATCTTTACTGCTTAATATCTTGAGGATCTACATCTCGGGTAGCAACCCTGGTTCAAGGGATACCCTTCAAGCTTGGAGATGGACCAGAGAATACTCAAAACTCACAGTGTAGTGCTTGACCCACTTCTCAGAAACGATGTGACATCCCCGAGTCCACCAGCCAGCAGGTCTTTTAGGATCTCCTATCCCTGCACTACAAAACCCTCCAGTGCTGCGGTGGTGTGTCACCGGCGCCTTTGCACCAGGCTTGGGTGTTGCAACAGTTGCCAAAGTTTGGGAGTCTGTGGTGGCATACCACACACGTATGAGACTCCAACGACCTGGACAGCAGGGTGGATGTTTTTTTTTCTCGAGTATGGCCGATGTCGCACTCTGGCTCGGTCCTTACATGAGCATAAGCAGTAAATATCATTTGTACAAGGACCCAAAAGGTCCGAAAAAGCAGGCAAATCACCTTACAGCAGGGTGGATGTGGCTACAGGGCCAAAGCAGGGCTTCGCTGAATGCCCACAGCTTGTGAAATGCAGCCATTGCGGCAAGTCAGTCAACCAGCGATCAGTGAAGCTTCCAGCATGGAGGCGTCACATGGCCTCACCTCAAAAATTGACTGAACAACCTGGCAACGTTTCCTTTGATTTAAGGACGATGTTGCTTCGGAACAGTGGGAGGTTTTGGAGCCTTTAACGGTTGTATATTCAAGAGTGTGCTGCAGATGGGACTGCAGATTACTGTAAACCAGAATCACCAGTTGAAATCTTGCAAGGTGCACCTGCCCTCAAAGTTTCTGGACCGGCACAGAGATGCTTGGCAGCAGTGCGCAGTTGCCCTGGAAGCATAGTCCCTTCAATGTGTTTTTCCAGAACTGATGACAGGTGGCATGGAACAGCATTGGCAAACTTGTCAGACATGTTTCAACCTGCTGCATTGCAGATGTTTTGGTGGAAGACAGCACCTCTGCATAGAAAGTTTGAAGCTCCAGCCCTACCCGTTTTTTTTCCTTCGAGTATGGCCGATGTCGCACTGCGGCTCGGTCCTTACGTGAGCATAAGCAGTAAAACGTCAATTTGTACAAGGACCAAAAGGGTCCGGAAATGCAGGCAAATCACAATAAACCAAACAACACACAGACCAGCCAGACGACCCGCAAATCCCCCAGCCAGACTTGCGTTTCGTCAAGAGAAACAGCAAACCAGACACACAAAAGGGGCCGGAGCCCAAACAAAAACACCCACCAAAAAGATTTGCCAAAGGACACAGTGGTTTGACCACTGCATCACTTTCAAAAACATGCGAAAATGAATTAAGAACCACGACATTCAAGGAGACATAAAGACCTAAACATTTTGCCTGTCTACTTTGGCATAGATGTGCCGAAGCTGTACATGAGCACGGGGCTACAACTGTGCCTCTCTCAGCGTCCTCTCAGATCAGCTTGTCCAGAAGGCCTCCATGGACAGAATCACTATCAAATGTTCTCCGTGAGCAAGAATGTCGTGGTGGTCACTGTGCCAGGTACCCCCCCAGTAGCTGGGGCGGACGGTAGTGGCACATAGGAAGCTTCGCAAGCCAGTGAAAAACTTCCATACAGCCATCGCGTATCATGTAGTG